CAATCCTGCTGACGGAAAGACAAACAAAACAACATATTAAGCAATCAGTCATGCAAACATTAATTACACTGTAATCTGAGTTTTTCAATTTTAACTGTCCTATGTATTATTTGATTGACCTGTACTTAAAGGTCACCTATCATGCTATTTTTAGGCAATAGCATAGGTCTCAGATATATACAAATATATAAAAAACATGTCTATGAAGTGTTTTGCTCAAAATACCAAACAGATCACCCATTCTAGCCATGCCTCATATCCCTCTGTTTCACTTCCTGTTTCTAAAGTGCTGATTCTGGGTATAAAGCTTTAATAAAGGAGGGGTCTGAGCTCATGCGGGACCCGGCAGCTACTGTCTAAACTAAATGCTGCCGTGATGAAACGCCATATCATGGATTATCAAGGATTCTCTCTGAAACAGTATGGAGCTCAAAGGCTTTCTCTCTTGCCGGTTATACCACAAGGTGAGTTCCTTTTTATTTCCTGCTTCTTCACACACATGCTCTCCAGTACAGGTTAGCTCTGAGTGTTAGCGATGCTAATGTAAACACCGACCATATTACGTCCAAAACAGTCGGGCATTGTTTCTGATAGCAACGTTTCTGATAGGCCCGTGGGTCCACATTTCAGATATTACGTCATATCGGACGCAAATCTGGATCAGCTCCGTTGTTCCCCCGTTTTTAGAGATTTGGGTACGGAGGAAAAGAGAGAGGGTTTTATTTTCTGACGCTGCATGAGTTCCCTGACACATCGGGGACACATGTTTATGTATAAAAGACATCAAAAAGTGCATTTTGCATGATAGGTCCCCTTTAAAGCATGTTTTATAATTGTTTGTGTGATAGAGATTATGCAATGTTTTGAGTGTTAGTTGATTGTTGTGTATCTACCTAAAGACTGCAGATGGGAATTAGCTATTGGCTTAAATCTGGCATAATTAATCTCTTCTCTTTTCTGAGATGAATGTATTTGTATGCTTGGTCCTTGTTGAAATAAATACATAATATAACAGACAGACATTCAAACCGAGCGAAAAACGCAGCAGAGGTTTTGAGCAAAACTAAATAAAGTTAGTTTTTAAAGTAAACTTAACCTACACTAAGTGTAGAGGATGGGAGGAGTTATATTTCAGTGTATCGGTGTCCGTCCTGCACTGATGTGTCGCCGAGGGGCTCGGGGGTCTGAGGGCCCGACAGACATTGTTTAACAGTGATGTCACCACTTCCCGTCAGAGCGAGGGGTGGGGGGGAGGGGGGGCTGTTGGCGGGCTGGGAAACACACAGATCAGCAGAACTGTGTGTGTGTGTGTGACAAAGAGCCTGTCTACGGTCCGCTGGCATCCAGTTTGATCACACGCAATCTGAGCATCACCCGAACACCTAGCTATCTCACTATATTGCGAGGGTGAGGGTCTGCGTGTAACAGTTATATCATCAATGTTGTGCAAAATCAAATGTCCACTTTTCCCCTATATCCTGGATTTGTGTGACTGTAATATGTATTTTTAAGCAAGAAAAAACAACAACTTTCAAAACAATAACATGGCAGACCCCCTGCAGTTACCCTTAAGACCCCATAACCCCACACACTGTACAGGTTACATTTATATTTAATGTACTATTCCATTCCATACACACTTAATGTAAAGAATACCCTGCTTTAAATTGTTTTAACTGAAAATTGGCACTTCGATAGTGTTTTATTGTCTGAGTTTATCGATTTTTTATCTTCACGGTCTACTCTGTATATTTCTTACTTTTAAATGCTGTTTTAATTCTATTTTGAGATGTTTAAATTCTAGAATTGTTTATTTCTACTCTTTAATTTATACTCATGTGCAATGCAAATGCCAATTTGGGATCAATAAAGTAAATATTATGTTATCTTATATTATAACGGACCCCCTGTTGAAGACCGATGCTAAATATTAACATGCATGTGCGTCTGCATGTGTTTTCTCTCCTGATTTACTCAGCGAGTGTTTGTTGTTTTTATGCTGCTGCAACGCAAACACTTCCCAAATTGGGATCAATAAAGTACCTATCCATCTATCCATCGATCTATCCATCCATCCATCTATCCATCCATCTATCTATCCATCCATCTATCTATCTCTCTATCTATCTCTCTATCCATCTATCTATCTATCTCTCTATCTATCCATCTATCTCCTGATCATGATCCTCAACACATTGAAGTCCACCAGAGGAATATGTCTAAAGGTCACCAGGTGCTCGTTCCACCAAATGTGCAACGTGAGAGAAAATTCCAGCCTATGCATTTTTCACATGCTTCACTTTTCAAAACAAACGCCACACCTAAACCCCATGCATGCACACACAACAGCTCCTACAATAATCTGCAACTCAACATTATTTAGGAAACAGGATGATGATACAACGATGTATGACTCAATCTGACAGAGACTGTGACTATTACTCAGAATATTACTCATAAAAAGTAATTATTAAGTAGTTATTGGTATAAATTAAGTAGTTATACAAATGATATCAAGATGTTGATGCAGTATAAGGCTTTAAACACGGAGTATATCTTCTGGAATAATCAAAAATCATGTGATTGCAAAAATACAGCAATAAATTGTGTTTGTAATAGATAGCAAGCAGTATTCAATTTGCCCTTTGTTATTGTTCTGACTTATGTCTCACTGCTTGTGTTTGCTTCACCATTGTCCATTGAATCTAAATCTATATCACTGTGACATGTCTCCATGCTTTAATGTTCAAAAAGCTCTTTATTTTTCACATACTGCCTGTGCTGCAGCACCTCTTTTCACCCTCTGTCTGAAACCAGAGCCCAGTCTGCTCTGATTGGCTCTGTTGTGATTGGTAAACCGCTAAGAGATGTCCCGCCCCTTAGCCTATCACGTACAATGTGTTGGAGCGCTAGCTTATAGAAGCGCGAGTATTACGTAGTGATGCCACTATGTTCTGGAAGTAAACAAAGGAATCCAATGGAGGTGGAACTTTGGGATTTTAGCCTTTGCAGACCATTTACATGCACTAAAACGTATAAACACACTACAGGAAAGCGAAAAAGCAGAAATAGGGCCCCTTTAAGAGCAAATCAAGTTTCTTCCTCAAAATTGTAGTGGAGTAGAAGTATAAAGTAGAATTTTGCATCATATGATAACGCATTACATGCTCCCCCCTCCCTCATAAAACACAGGATACATATAACAGTCATAAGCCATGTCATAATACATCTAACAAATATAACCTGAGCTGCTAAGAGCCGTGTGTTTATCTGTGAAATCCATTTCAGGGTACATTTTCCCTTTAAGTCCCTTCTGTGGCGTGTGTCATGCTTTCCACTTCCACCGTCTGTTTAACTGTATATGGTCTTTATGTGGGATTTGTGATGGAAACATTACAAAAAACGATACGTAAAGAGGCCCAGTCTGGTTAAAAAGCAGAGGAGCAGCTCAGTTTCTCTGCAGGCTGAAGGTCAAGGAATCAACTGACTTTGTTTGACTTTCCGAGGCAGTCATGTGTGCCTTTGTTTTGGCATTTCCTCAGAGGAAACTCCTGATTACTCAGTGTAAAAATACACAAGTGACTTATGGGGGGTGGAATCTGAATAGCTCAACCAATAAGTCAACCATTAACCTTAAGAAAACAATTCACCTTATATGATTCCTAAAGAAGAGTTTCAACCAAATAAAGAGCTGCAGAACTTTATCAGTGACGTATTTCTCTGCCATAAAACAGGCAAAAAATTCCCAAATTCTATACAAAAGCCTGTGGTTTTTTTCTGTGATCAATGAAAAGACAAGTCATTTGATCATATAATCAATTTATACTGACATGCACAGGTTAATGTGACATTTAACTCTGTCCACAGTTCTGCATCCTTGTGCAAAAACATGCTGTCAGTGTTGTCAAATGTGCTGACCATCACATATCACATAATGTGACAGTGAAACATACAGGTATCTTATAATGGTCAGCTGAACCCCCTCTGTGGGACTGTTTCACTGTATACATAAATACTAAAGGGACATGTTTACACACAGATAATTCAATCAGTTCACCTTCAATCAAGCCACACACCAAGGAAGCTTTCTCAGACTCAGTTTGTGCACTTGTCATGCATGTAATATGTTATTTGAACAGAAACATGTGTAGAAAACCTCTATCATGTTAAGGGCCACAAATAAATACGTCCATCCATCCATCCATCCATCTATCCATCCATCTATCCATCTATCTATCTATCTATCTATCCATCCATCCATCTATCTATCTATCTATCTATCTATCTATCTATCTATCTATCCAACCATCTATCCATCTATCCATCTATCTATCTAATCTTCTAGTAAGATTAGCCATGATGGCTGGGAACAAGGTGTTTGTCAACAACAGGAAAAGGAGACAACTCACTGAGCCCTCTTTTAGTTTTGAATGGGAACCCAGTTACAAACTCCATTGAGAAATGTGCATATTTTAAATTGCTCCAGGTTTAACACCTTATTAATGGAAGTTAGAAGATAAATGAAGTGTTCATCTGTAATATAAACCCCTTATATTCAGTTCGGCGTGCATACAGTCGATTAAAAACAATTACATTACGTCAAACTGAACGTTTTCATTATATTCCCTTATCCTTACGAATCCCAGAAGCTGCCCTCTAGCACTAAAATGTGACGATAAAAGAAAAACTAATTTACACTTTGTAGAAAAATACAGCTTTTTTGTTTGATCTTTTGAATGCCGAATTTACCAAAGTAGGCAACAAAATGGTAAAATGTTGTTTATTCAATTCTGGCGGGATGCATGTTTCCACAAGGTAAGATAACCTTACATTCTGAGTTTGTTTCAATGGTGTTTGGCGTGATGCAATTGGGTGTGTTCCCATGCATAAACCGATTCAAAAAACTCTTTCAGATTCAGAAATCGTGAGAAAGTATGATGTGTTCAAAATGCATCCTGGAAAATAATGAGTTTATGGTAGGAAAATAGCATTTAACCTACCTGTCAGTGAGTGTTGACTGTGTGCCACTCATTGGGGCTTCCCTTTCCGACGACTTCACCCAAATAGCATTTTCTGGCTGTTATTTATTAAAACATGTTTATTTTGTCTCCTCGGTGTCCGTCCATTTCCAGAAACTTCGACGAGGTGTAATTTCCAGCATATGGAGTGAAACAAAATCCCGTTAACCTGATTTCATTGAAGGAAAATCCCAATGCAAAGCGAAAGAGGTCATATATTATTCCCAGAAGTCCACAAAATTGCTAGAAATAAAGAAAGTAGCAACTTTTTCCTGAGGGGTGTGAATGGGTTTCATTAGACAGCTGCATCGATAGAGACATCTGGAAGAGACACTTTTTTACAAGTTTCTTTCAATGTTTTCCAAACTTTATCTCCAAGTTGTGCACATCGCTATTTCTCCTTGTGAAATACTTCCATGGTGATGACACTGCAGACTATTCCAGATTATTATCCCGGGGAAGATTGCGTCAAACTTTGGCTGCTAAATCCAAAATGAAGGTCCAGAGTCCACAGAGTTTTTGAAGCATCCTCCTCCTCCAGGTTTGTTAATCCTCACCTAATTCGTACGAGAGTCTGACTTTTTTGTGTTGCTACAAAGTGTGATGCAAATGGAAAAAAGGAAATGCTTTGTGCCCCCTCCCCAAAAAGAGAGTCAAAAAAGAGGAGAAAAACCCACCTTCCATCCCGATGCGTTCAGGAGCTCCTCGTACTTTGCGAAACTGTCAGATTTAAAAAGCGATTTTGTGGTTTTATTTTACTTTAAATCACAGATAAACATTGTACGTACATTTGTTAAGCACAGTTTCAAGGTGCTTGTACTTTGTTTGAGTATTTTATTGTTATGCTACTTGTCCTTCACGAAATTGCAATGGGAGATATTGTACTTTTTAGTCCATTATTTGTTTTGACAGCTACTTTGCAGAGTCTATTTCCACTACAGCGCGGAGCTCGCAGACCTACTACTAAATCAGGATATGTTCACCTGACCTTCCAGCAGTATAAGTGTTATCAACCCCACCATCTTAAAGTGATTAATGTATAGACAATTATAATGCAAACATGTATTTTTAGCCTATATAAACCAGTGGGACATAATGCAAAATGAGTATTTTACTCTTGGTATTTCATTATAACTTGGGATTGTCATGTTTTTACATATACTGACTACTGACATCCTCACAGGTGTAAACAATGTGAAGCATGTGTGATTTATATCTGTGTATACAGTATGTAGTGTAAACAAATGTATCCGAATTCTTTCGAAAAACACTTTAATACATTAATTGAGATACTTTCTCTGCATCTTAATTGTAATGTTTAAACGAAAAATGTTTAATATTCTTAATAAACGTATTTATAAAGTCATGATGTTACACACTCCGGTACAGTAGGTGTCGCTATACCCCCTTACCGTTGGGTTTTAGTCCGCCAGTAAAAACCACCGAAGAAGAAATTCATCCACCCACAGGCCAACGGCAGAAAACAACGTAAACAAAGCAACATATTTGGCTAAATCGGGACATTTAATCCGTCTAGCTCTTGTTTTATTGTCTCAATATATTGCAGAATAACTGCTCGATGTTGTGATTTAGCTAAAAGTCTCATTGTCAGTCATGTTTGTTTGGATTTCGGGATTATAAAGGCCTTGAAGTCGTTCTGCTAACGGAAGGTAAGCTAACATGCTGACATCCATTGCAACGGTTTTCAAAGCGCGTCAAAAACTGAAATAAAATGCCAATATCTTCCACCGTTTTCTGTGAAAATTTGACAAATGTATTGGGCATTATTGTATATTTGTGCATGAGACAATTTGATGATAGTGTAGAGCCAGTATGTGTCCCGTTTTCTGTTGTGTTGACAGAATTTGACCCATAATATGAGCAGCTAACTGTTTCTTTGTCTGCTACATAGAGGAAACTGGTGAAAATAAAACAGCAGGTTTCTTAATTATCAACCCCTCTCCATTTTGTTTATAAATTCCTTTCTCAGCTGCATTTAACTTAAATATAATCTCAGTTTTTGTGTGTTTGGCCTGTATTGCTGGATGCCCTGAGGTGGGCGGTGCTGCTCAGTGTAAACAGTTAGACAGTTAAGACTTTAATGCAATAAATGGAGACTTGTGAGTTGTATTTCCCCATTTTATGTGGCTATTCTTTATTTATAAGATACTTGAAGATATTTCACCACTTAAGGAATAGTCTTGTTGTCACACAGAACAATTTAAGTCTGCAACGGATGAACTGAAACCGTACCTTTCAATACAATATACATTTTATAACATTTTTATTGACTATACACATTCTCAAAAGAGGTATTTGTAATAACACACATGTACATTTGCATATTGGGAGATAATACAGTACATTATTTAAGTTTTAAAATAAAACAAAACATTATAACATTATTGTGGCCATGATTGTCAAACACATAAAAAACATTTTTGGCAATCTGTACATTTTTAGTAGTTTTTTGTCCTTTATCCACGTTTTGCATAAGTGCTGAGGGTTGCTGATTAGCAGAGTAATTACTCACAGCACTTCCTCTGAGAGAAAAGCTTCTTTATTGGGAATATTTCATTAAATTAAACATTTAATTAAAATGCACAAAGGAACCGTCTCAAAATGTTGCTCACACTGAGCTAATTTCACACAAGATTCAGTAATTGGAAATGAAAGATAATTAACTTATCAGTCAGACTTTTGTTTTAAAGTTAAACGCCCAAAAGTGATTATTAAGGTCATGTTTCTTTAGCCACATCTGCACAGGAGCAGTGTTTTTTGTGGCGGTGGGTGACGTTGAATTTTGAATTGAGCCGTCCCTTATAGATACTAGCTTTTTACGTATGCACACACACACAATTTTGAATTGAGCCGTCCCTTATGCTATCTCTTTACGTCTCCCTGCCGACAGGGACACCCCTCCTTGCATGGTCCTTGGAAGATGCGGCGGTGTTTTGTTTTGTTTCGTCCCAGGAACGCGCTTTGCTGGCGACGAAAATAATCCCACCAGACTCCTTTGCCCCTCCAACAGAGGGATGTCCTTGTGCTTTTTTCTTTTCATCATTTCAAGCGATAAAAACTCTCGATCTTCTCTCAAATTATGAATTTTTTTGGACGCCCTCGTCTTGAGTTCAGGGCGTTCCGAGCTGAAAAAGAGCGTCAAATGACGGCAAGACGCCCCCCTTGGCGGAAACGCTGGCTGTCTGTCTCTTATCCTTGGTGTTATCTAATCAAGTGTTTTTTGTATTTACTCTCCTCTTAGCCCATGATTCAGCTGGAGAAGCCGGTGCTGACTGGGACCATGCCGGTGGTGTGGCCCACCATCCTGGACCTGGGCAGGGACGAGTGCAAGAGAATTCTCCGTAAACTCGGTAAGGTCATGCAATACAGAAGAACATCTAGAGGGCTCTCACTGTGAAAATGCAGTTTTTTACACTGAACACACACACACACACACACACTCACACACACACACACACACACAGACACAGACACAGACACAGACACAGACACACACACACACACACACAGACACAGACACAGACACACACACACAACTCTTAATTGAGGATTTATTTATAGGAAAATAGTTATTACAAAGCAGTCTGTGTGGGCAGAGCTTCAGACTTCCTGTTGTTACATTAGACCCACCCACTCATTTATATCTATATACAAATCTTAACATATCTCGTGCAAAATCAAAGCTTATAACATACTTGTTTAGTACTGCCTTCCCAGATATCTGATTCTAGTTTTTATTCCATTTATTCTGCTGTTTTTGTGTTTGCTTTAGTATGTTTATTCTTTGTATAGCTGTGTTTCTATTTTAGGTATATTCTTTGCTTTTTATGTGAATCCCTTTGAAGCTTTGTTTTAATACAAGCTAAAATATTATTGTTGTTTCGAAGATTACCAAAATAAATTCTGCCTGAGAACATTTTTTATCAAACCAAGAAATACATATTTGAGTTAATCTGATTGGACTCATATCCTTTATTAAAAATGTTTATTTGTGTCCCCAGAGCTGGAGGCGTATGCCGGGGTGATCAGCGCCCTGCGAGCCCAGGGAGACCTGACCAAGGACAAGAAGGATCTGCTGGGAGAACTCACTAAAATCCTCGGGTAATTGTTTCAAAAATATAATAAAACTTGATAAATGTGAGAAACAAACGTTGCTTTATTTAAAATGTGCTGTACCGTTTGCCCAGTATCTCCACAGAGCGCCATCGTGCAGAAGTCCGCAGGGCTGTCAACGATGAACGCCTCACCACCATCGCATATCAGTAAGTGTATAACTTTCATTTGAAAATGAATTCTAAACATATACAGTGCTTTAAAATATTTATCTGTTTGTCACATTTTTGTGCTTTTTAAATGAGTTTTTTTTGACAAATGTGAGTTTTCTTTCCCGCTTTTCTCACAGCTGCAAACTGTAAATTGTATTTCTAAAAAGCCAATATCTACTTTATTAATGGTGCACGATCTCTTTGCAGCATGTCGGGTCCTAACAGCTCGTCCGAGTGGTCGATCGAAGGACGTCGCCTCGTTCCCCTGATGCCGCGGCTCGTCCCACAGACGGCCTTTACCGTGACCGCTAACGCAGTAGCCAGCGCCTCAGCCAATCAGAACGCCTCCTTTCTGATGCCAGCGGAAACAGGAAACAAAGAAGGTGGGCCAGCATCACTTTTGTAATCAAAGAAACATGTTTTAAATCAGATTGATGCAAAGTTACTCACCTTAATTAATATGTGACATTTTTTAAAGATGATGATTCTGTCAATTGACCAATCCTTGCAGCTTGCACCACATTAATCGTTGTATTTCCTCCCTGCAGTGGTCGTATGTTACTCCTACACGAGCACCACGGGCACCTCCACCAGCGCCACAGCGAGCAGCGGAGCCATCGGAGCGGCGGTGAAATCTCCCAGACCCCCGAGCCCCTCCTCCAACGTGGTGGTGCTGCCCAGCGGGAGCACGGTCTACGTCAAGAGTGAGATTTGTCTGCTATTTGGTTATTTATCTAGCTTAAGTCTTATGACAACATTTTTATTTATTCGACCTCATCCTGTTTTTTCTTTCTAAATGTTTACTTTTTAATTGAAAACTGACATTTGAGTCTTTTTCAGTCATCAATTCATATTGAATCTGTCAGAAAATCCCCATAATATCACCATGTTTCTTAAAAAAAAAGCCCAGTCTGAAATGTTTTGTCTCCTTTTCCCCCCAAAACATTTTTAGACTGCATTTTATTTATTTTTTTAGGTTTTCCATTCAGCCTAAAGGGGGCGCTACAAGCTTATTTACTGTTTTTCATGTTATTGTGGTGTCAGGAACAAACACAACAGACCTAATTCCTCGGTGGAAACACATCTTTATTTGTGTGTTTGCCGAAGAACAATTGATAAAGAAATTCCTTCACGATGTAGACTTTATACTGGCTGAGATTTCATCTTCAAAATAAAATAAATAATACAATTTGACAATCTTTCAATCTGTGCCAATGTAGGAATGCATGTTAACCCTTATGTTGTGTTGGGGTCTCCCGTGACCCGTTTCAAGTTAAAATGATATAATAACTACGCTCTAGTTTTTTGTATGGGAACAAGGCTTCATGATAT